CATTATTAATCTTTATAATTTACAGGTTGTCATTATACCATTTGACAGCCGTAGGAAGCTGCAGAGGCTAATCACGACATTATGGAGAGGGTGTGGTGGAAAGTCCAATATTGTCTTTAAGTTCTCCTCTCCATCAACATGGCTGGCATCTGCAGCATCGTCCTGTCTCTGTTGAAGGACCTGAGCTGTCTCAGAAAATAAAGACGGCTCTGGCCTCTTTTGCAAATCATATCCACATTTTTTGACCAGTCCAGTTTATTGTCTAAGTACATCCCCAAGTACTTTTAGTTCTCCACCATATCCACACAGGCCCCTTGGATGGTGACAGGGCTCACTGTCCCCTTCGACCTCCTAAAGTCCACCACCAGTTTCTTTGTCTTTGACAAGTTGAGCTGTAGGTGGTTTTTACAGCTCCATGTGACAAAGTTGTCCACCACAGTCTGGTACTCACTCTCATTACCATCAGTTTGAGTAGTTTTGCAAAACAAATAAAAACTAATCTTGAACTTGTGTCCTTCATCCTCACTCAGAGTCAAGATCAACATCAACACTTTAAATAATTAATGAACCAATTAAGTTGATGAGTTTCAGAGGCATTTGTTTGTCATGAGAGAATAACGATCCTAATCAGCTCATTAGGATCACTGTGGTGTTTAGAGTCTAAATCCACATGGGGAAAAAATGACTGCAGAGTTTCCCCATCAGTGCAATATTCCCACATGACATATCTGTTTTCTGCTGGGTGCACAGATGAGAGTCACAGTTCAAAAACTGCCAAACTTTAAAAACTTACAAACATCACTTCACAAACTTCATCAGTTATGTAAAGTCATCAAAGGGTTAAACGAAAAAAGAATGACTGGGCTAGCTTCTTCTTGTAGTTGTTGGTGTGTGACAGGAAGTCTGCTTAACCCAAGTTACAGGACAAGAACAGATGTTGGGGCACAGAATTAAATGTGTTATTCTCCCTTTTCCAAGTCAGTGTATCATCACATTGATGTTATTTCATTTTAAATTGCTTCAAGCAAAGTGCAGGGACCTAAATGACAATGCTAAGCAATGATGCTGCAGGTACAATGTTTACAATACTCAACATTTTAGTTTAATAGTTAGCACACCAACGTTTGCTAATGGGATCACAAAAGTTATCCATGAATGTTTCGGTATATGGTCCATCCATAAGGTTTATTTTTCAGACATTTAACTGAAAATTACAAATGTGGAAGTCACTTGCTGGAGTAAAAGTCAGGGGATCACTTAAGTCATTAGGATACATCCTTTGGGACTAAACATGTAAATTTCATGGCAATCCTGTATCAGTTTTATAAATAATGTATCTGACCACCAACCTCTTCCCTAAAGCCATGCCTTTGGCCATGAGATCCAGGTTGTAAAAATATCGTAAAATAGACTAAAATAATATAATTTTCGATAAAGTGTTGGGAATATTAAGTTTTATTGTACACAACATTTAAAAATGCATTGTCCAAATGTAAATGTAAAAAACATTTCTAAATGCAACACAGAAGCGACTCACCCCACATACAAAGAATATATTTACCAACCTTTCTAATCTTCCAAGAGCTTTAAATATGAAATTTCTGTTGAAAACACATTTGGAGAAGCCCAACTACTCAGGACACTTTGTACACAGTTGAGAAGGCGTCACAAAGTTCAGCAGATCATCTTCATCACCTGAATGCCCTGTCACTCCAGAAAGTAAAAATAAATCTCATATTGTTATTTTTGTCACATTTAACTTACAGTAATTTTCATATACTTCTGATGTGTATTGGTTTTTGTTTTTGTTAATTCTAGCTGCAGCTTTGAGCTCCTTTTATTGAACTTACAAGGCAGGTCTCAGAAAACTTTTTACTTTTACAAATGAGAAATGTATGGCTAAAAATCGCTCTTTGATGGTTTTCATAGATGATTTTAATCGCACTTTTCCTCTGAAACAACATTTTTTTCAACAAGATTTTCTTCAACACAATCATGCCCTACATTTTATTTGCTAATACATTATTGTCTTATTGTCTGATATTGATTCGAATAAATCTCCTGCTCATCTTTTACTATTTTCATTTGACCATGCAAATCTGGTATTGTATAATTTTGTGTTGGGGTTATAATGTTGTCAACACAGGGTTTCCTCTGAGGAGCTGTTCATCTTTCACACGTGTCAGGGTCACCTCAGGTCTGCTGTTGGTCAGCTTTACTGATCATGTGCATCACCATTGTGTTTTTCCATATAAAGATGATGAAAGTGCTGCATCAGGAGGGGATAAAAAGTCGACATGGAGAGGATTCAGAACTGTGGTGCTTCATGCTTTCCAGCTGCACCTCTGCCTGATCCAGCTGTGGTAGCTGCTGTACTTTAAATTCATTTCAGTACTGTAATTACATTACTTTTATTCTTGCTCCAAGATTCTGAGTCCTCTCATGTATGGCCTCAGGAATGAAAAGATTTCCTCTCACTGAAATACAACAATCTCTCTGTGGCCTTCACATGAAACATGCTTTTCATTTGCAATAGAAATCTTCATCCACAGGGAAGATCAGAAATGCTGTTTTTAAACCTTTTGGTAATTTTGCTGTACCATCTTTCTGGTTTCAATCACACAAGCTCTACAACCTTCACCACTTCATAAATTGAAATTGTTAGGACATA